GGGGGGGGGGGGGCTGCGTCGGATACATTTCCGTGACAGCGCGGGCAGGATCAAGATATAATAGCGATGTTGCATGTGTATGAAATGGATCTTGTCGTGGCGTGGGCGGACGGACGGACCGATGAAGCTTGCTCTCAGCGTTCGGGTGCCTGTCGCTGGGAAGGGCAGATGACGCCTTCTCGGCCTGACGCCCCAGGGAGAAGATAACTCATCCAAGAGGTTCAGATCTCCGCCCAGAAAGACATGCGGTGCGGCGTGATCTTCGTCCTCCTGGCGTTCACCGGGGCAGCGGCGGCGGCAGCAGGAACCAAAGCAGCGACGGGCAGGGAGGGGATTAACGTCGCTCTCCACGCCCAGAGCAACTACGCGGTGCACGGCTGGGTTGCAGGTCAGTCAAGAACGGCATCCAGTATTTGTTGATCGAAGTGTGTGCGGATGGCTTGACCCCTCCGTATGCACACCAGTCTACAGTTGACAAGGATCCTCTGATGATGATGTGTTCCGTTGGCTCCTGCTATCGCCGTCTTGATCGTACAGACTTTGTTACTGCTGAAGGCGAAGTGCTCCCGACCTAACATCTGTCTCTATTTGCCTGTGCTCCTTACTGTAAATACTCCGTGCAACCAAGCTGCATGTTTATGTAGTCTAGTACGTACGTAGAGGGCTTCGACAGGAGGAGAACGGGATGTAGATCTAGACTTCGCACAGAACAAGTCTATACATATAAAGCAACAAGCAACAACATACGATAGATAGGGCTAAACCTGCGCACATGCGTGCATGGTCAAGACTTCGGCGATTGAGCCCCCTGCCTGCTATTGGCCCGTGACCTCTTCCAGTACTATTACTTTACTACAGACTATGAATGCTGCAAAATTTGGCTACTGCATCTCAGGGTCAGAAGTTACGACCAGCGGGCTACGACGGGCATTTGAGGCCCTTCCTTGCGTGCGGAGCTGCGAGGTGAGTTCGTGTCAATTGGCTGTTGAACGATGCTTGCGTAGAGCAGTGTTCTGTCGCACGAGAACAGACACTAAGTCAGCAGTGTGCCCAACCTGCCCCTTCGATTCTATTGCTGAAAGGGTCGGCCGTGTCGAATGTAAAGATGGTGCGTTATATAGAATAGTCTAGTCTAGTCTATCCTAGACTATAGTCTTTATGCAGCGGACCGATAAACAACAGCAGCAGGTGGTCGGAAGTTCACCAATCCAGGTCATATATCATGGTAGCAGTAGTATAAACTACAGTATATATGCATGTCACGGTTCCCCCACGGGCGTAGACTACTGCTGTAACAACAGAATGTAGCTAAAACTAACATCCACCGCTGAGGCGTGAGTCGAAGCACAACAACCCTCGTGTGTCTAGACTACGTCGGATCGGAGGCCCGCCTCGTTCTCATCTACAGTAGGGCCCGATGTAGCGGCACGTAGGGTCAAGCCAAGCACATGCCGCTATTCAGGGCAGTGCCGCTATTCCCAATAAGGATAATACTGAGAAACGCAGTTGGGACAGGCGATTTCGATGCCGCTATATCGGCAATTCCGATATTAGGTTGCCGCTCTATCGGGTCACCTACTGTAGACTATACCAAGGTTTCCTTCGACGACGCGAGCCCAGACGTCCTCTTGTATGTACCTTGGTCAAACAGGTATTCGCCCCGTTTTCTTACGATGGGGTTTCCAGTCGAAAGTGGGACTTGGTGATCATCGAGGGGTATACGGGCTCTGTGCCAGCTTTCATACACGAGGTGAGGTATGCACCACACCACTGATGTGTTTTGATTAGGATGCACGAGACCGAGCGATGTTGCCTGCCCCACAAAATTGGTTTAGCTATCATCGAGGAAACCGCAGCTGAAGCTCAGAAACGGTCGTTGAGCGCACGTACGTTATCACCGCATGATGGGTTTTGCCCGCGGAATGTGTCGCAATAATCTCTGCACTAAAATGAGCGCGACCTTCTTGGCTCCTCCTGTGTGTTTAGTTTAGAGTTGTAGCACGCAGTCTAGTCTAAAGTAGTTGGTAGAACCACTTTGTCCTTCATATATTGCTTCTTCTGTGGTCGAGTTTTTTCGTGCGCTATTCGTTTCTTGTGTGTCAAGACACGCTGTACTATACAAGTAACAGTCAGCCATGCACCCCGCGCTGGGTGTGCGCACGTAGCCTACCGGACCCCCACAACCCAGCCACCTTCGCCAGACGTGTTGTGTTATCGTGTGATGAACTTGTACCAGTAGTCGCAGCGTACCACGTGCAATAGGCCAGCTCTGCGGGTCTTACGTGAGAATTGTTCAAGCAAAGGAGGACGGGTTAAAACGCTCGAGCGAAACGAAGAATGATAACGAAAGTAGCGCTAACCCCCAACTCCTCAACGACTGCATCGATCGCCCTACGAACGGACGTGCGTGTCCGATGTCGTACCTAGGTTCGGGCTGGCAACGACGACGTCGTGGTGCTTTTCTACTGCCTGGACACCTACCCGTCCCTGTCCGCGGTAGGAAACTTGGATGTCGACGCCTTCCTCACCAACAGCCTAGCACTCTTACCGTTCCTGCGACAGGTGAGAGCCACCCAGAACAATTCTCTCCACGCGCTTTGTTTCTGGCGCCGGTTGTTATTTAGAACACCAACACTCCTCGGTGATGCAGGACTGTGATAGTCGTGTGATTCAGTACAGAAAAATAATCGGTGTTGAATAATGTCCGGAGAGGCCCATGAAGTGCTGATGCTCGAAGAGAAAGGTGACCTCGGTTCCTGATCGCAAGCAGGCCCAAACCCCACAGCCCCTGTCGCAACCTTACCAGAGTCTTGGACCACATGCATATTCATCGGCGTGCCGGGGCGTCCTCGCTGACGCGTCTCGCCCATCCAGGAGCCCCCGATTAGCTTGCTGTCATGCAGAAATAATGCAGGTGCATTAATCAAATGGCAAGAGGAAAGTTAAGGGCGTCGATACAGAAACAATGCTGATGCAGATGAACCAACCAACCGGCAGAAAAACAACCCAGGACAATCATCTGCATGCAGTGGTTTCTTTAAGAAAAAGCAAATCGTCATGGCATTGTTACCGCACGCATGTATACCTTCGTTTGTAGCCCTCGCACAACATTCCGCAATGATAACTGATGAAAAGCACGATGACCACTATTGTAGACCACCAGTCAGCGCTGTGTAGTGGTCTAGTGGTCATCGTGATTCTCAACAAAAGCTAATGTCCGAGGTTGGATGGTATTAATTTTGTTGAGAAGCACGATGACCACTAGGCTACTAAATATTCAGCAAGCGCTGACTGGCAGCCTAGTGGTCATCGTGCTTCTCAAAAGCTTTGTCCGGGGTATAACCTACATCCCTCTCCCTTTTCTCAACAGTACCTTCACCACTTTCTCAAAAACGCTATGCTCAGATCGCTCCGGCGTCGTCACTGGTGCACCTCGCGGCAGACCCGTCGGTGATGCAAGCGGTGCCGTTTCGCCAAGAGTACGGCCACAACGTTGTATACCTCGGCCAATTCAAGGGTACCAAGCATCGGCTCGTCGAGGTCGGTGGTTTTTATTCCCGGTTGCGGCAAACTCGCAGTTTTCTTCGGAGGTGTTCGTGCGTGGGGGAAGATTGGTCGGATTGTACCGACACTGGCGGTTCTCGTATATCGCAGATGGGAATGACCTTGAGGGACATAAATGCCAGGAGAGACTTTGGGATACGAGTTGGCGGAAACCCCCTTACGATTTGTTTTGGCCTGACACTCCTCCTCTCTCCTACTCGTTTTCCTCTCTGATGTCGCCCCAACGATCTATACATGCGGTTAACAACACTCTTTGGACTCTGAAGCTCACACAACATGGGCAAATACAAGCAGGAGGTGGCACAAGTCAATGCTGTCTGTGGCCAAAGGGGGGAAGATATAGACTAGGGGGGTGTTGATGGCTGAGAACGAAGGATTCTGAATCAAGGGTGTTTGAGACTAGCTATATCGGTGGACTAGTCGTAGGTTCTTCGAACTCTATCGTTTTGGGTAGGGGGTGCTCTGCATCAGAGGTTGCAGAGCATAGATTGACTCAAGACCTTGTCATTAACGAGTGAACAGGGCAAGCCTGCCCATGCATGCAGAAGGGAGATAGCCCTTCTACGAAACACATTCTCCGTAGATCCGTGTCTAGTGCTGAGTGCACCTAACAATCCAGACGGGTTTCTAAACTTGCGTTCATGGCCTACCCTCGGCGAAGCTCGGAGAGCATCGTCGACGAAATCCTGTCTGATCTCGTAATAGTAGAAACCACACTACGACGCAGGCTAGCTAGATGTCTTCTGAACCACCAAAGAATCGCATCCATTACCCTCAGACCCTGAAAGAGGTTGCACCGTATGGACTAGCCATCTACGGCAACGGATGGGACGGTGTCGAGGGCGCGGAGGAACTGTTGCCGTTCTGGCGGGGCATTCTACCGCTGGGTGATGTCGCTGCTCTCTACACATCAGCCAAGGTGAGGCCCGCAGGGGCTACAACTCCGTTAGGACATGAAGGCGTGGTTCTATTAATCAGAGTTATTAGTCGTGGTGACATGCACAGTGTTCATGCAGAGGTACAACCTTGAGAGCAGCCCCAAGAGCGGCATGGAACTCCGTCTAACTCCCAAATCATCAGATAACATATATACCACCGTCCCCCCAAGAGGCTCTAGGCATTTGAAGTAGGCTGAAAAAGGGCGGGGAGTGATATCGATAGGATAGATATGAGAGGAAAAACAGTTTTGAGCAACCACGGGCAAAGCCCGAAGAAACGATTGGCCGTCGGTGATAGGTCCTGCGGGAAAAATGCTCCGGCCTCTCGAGGACGCGTGCTCAATGTTCCAACAGCTAAGCCACGCAACGCATGACCCCCCCCCCCAAAAAAAAGACATTCGCTCGTCGTCGGCGCGGCACACGCGTGTGCAGGTTGTCATATCCACGACGGAGACGCTCCAGCGAAGCTTGAGCATGGTCAACAACCGCGTGTTCGAGGCTCTCTCCTGTGGGGCCGCTGTGGTGGTGCGTACAGTATGCGTACGAAAAAAAGAAGCGAGCCAGGGAGAACAATCCAGATGGCGGCGAAGTGGATCCCTCTCGGATATATTTCATACATTTTCAGCAAAATCTTGGGACATCATCTGTCCCGCTACGTAAGGCAGCAGCATTGTCGTTGAACGCGCGCGGAGAAAACTTTTATTGACGGCGGTATCAAGCGCGTGGTTTTTCATACGCCGAACGCGTGGCGGTATCAATCAATATGGAATTTCTTTTTTGGTTTATCGCCTTCTCAACGGTGTGTGGTAGCCTGCATGGAGGGCCCACACAGGCCGCACACGTTTCACCTACAGTAAGACGTTCCGCTGCTCTCGCTCGCGGTTCTTACCCATGTTATTGCCTCTGGAACCCATTTTGATGCGTCCGTGGTGTCCCTCGCGCTTTCTCTCTCTCTCTCTCTCTCTCTCTCTCTCTCTCTCTCTCTCTCTTTCTCTTTCTCTCTCTCAATCCTACCTTCTCGCGCGGTGTTTTTCTCGCGAAAGAGCGACGCCTTTCCAGCGGCGGAGGAAATGTTCGGCGACCACGTGCTTTTCTACCGACAGCCTGGCGACGCGGCGCGGGCGGTGAAGGTGTGACTCTTGCTCGATCTCCGAACCTTAGCATTTGTTGGAAAGCACGATACCCACAGGACTTCTACTGACTACCAGTAGCCCAGTGGTCATCGCGCTTTATTGCAGCTCTAACCAACACCTGGGTTGATTGATTCGTACAGGGGGGCACGCAGATGGGCATGGTACTTGGGAAGGGCCAGATGGTGATTAGCCGCCCTTGTGCCCGGCGCCTGGCCGAGGGCATCAGTGTCTCGGGTGGCATAGACAATGATGTTAGGATGTGTTGGTGCCCAAAGAATCGTTCCCCACAACGATACGTGTCGGTGCCCCGCCAACAAGAGCCATGCTCGTTGGGGTTTTCCGCCCCGAAAGGTTGTACCCGGCGCAGACGGGAAATCGAAGCAGAGACAGCGAAAGCTGCCAACAACCAAGACGTACGAGCTCCGAAATCCCCCCCCCCCCC